TTACAAAGACTAGCACGATTACAAGCACGGGTAACACACAAGTTCATTTAACGATCACTCCATTCACCCCTCCTTTATTTCTTTCTGGGTCTTAGGTTATAACCATGTGTATGAAGGGAAAGATCCGGAGGTATCTCTGGCGTAGACTTTTCTCCTTGCAAGTCGTAACTGTCCTGTACGGGACTCGAGTCAATATTGGCCTCTGGCATTGGGTGGCTCCCCTGAGTCACTGATGACTTCTGGCTGGTTGTACATCATTGGGATGGGACTCTATGAATTACTGATAGTTTCAGGCATGTAGCGACTCCCTGGTGAGAGATCCAAAGAGTCACCGACCTCTTGAGGCAGAATACCGTTCTCTGGTTCGAAATAGTCGTTCGTGGAACTTTCCTTCGGCGCTAGGTGCCTAAGTGACACTGTCTCTTTCCGGCCGTTTGGAAATCGTATATGGGCGTACTGTGGGTTGCAGCTAATAAGTTCAACCTCTTGTACCAATGGGTCAAATTTTGAAGATCTTATAGGTGATTTTAGTAATACTTTCCCTGGGTTCTGTAGCCAAGTAGGCAAGGATGTAGAATGTAGATATTCTGTAGTTTCTGTGGACATAAATGATGTGCCACGATCAGAGTGGATGTAACTGGGTGTTCCAAAGAGGAAAAATAACTGGTCGAAGCACTTTATCACTGTCTTAGATGTCATATCAGGACAGGGAAAAACGAATGGACACCGCGAATATTCGTCAATCATTGTTAATAAATACTTGTTCCGAGTAGCTGATGGCAAAGGACCTTTAAAGTCAACACTAATTCTTTCAAATGGCAGTGTGGCCTTTATGAGCGTACCTGCAAATTCCTTATAGAATTGCGGTTTAATTCTATTGCAGGTTCTGCATTGTTGAATGGTCTGTCTGACCTCTTCAACCGAGAAGGGTAAGTTCTTTGACCTGACATAATGTAGAAGTTTAGTGACACCTGGATGACACAGGTAGTCATGGTACGTCTTCAGGCTACTTTGTTTCGTCATGGTTGCACAGTGCCCTCTAGACAAGGTGTCTGCTGCTGTGTTGGCGTTCCCAGGTCTATACTGTATATCAAACTTGAAGCCTGCCAGTTCCAATTTCCACCTTTGTATCTTATCGTTTTTAATTTTCTTGTCATGACTGTCTTTAAATAAGTATGAAGTAGACCGCTGGACCGTAATAAGGGTAAAATGATTGCCACACAAATAATGCTTCCATTTGCGTATAGCTTCAATTATTGCAGTTGCTTCTTTCTCTATGGCAGATTGATGCCTTTCACTAGGGGAAAGAGTTCTAGAGAAGAATGCAATAGGTCTTCCATCCTGATTTAAAGTGACTGCTAATGCGATGTCAGAAGCGTCAGTTTCCACAATTAGAGGATGGTCATACTTTATGGTGAAAATTGCTGCTTTCTGCAATTCTTCTTTCAAGTCTTCCAACGCTGTTTTTACTCTTGTAGGTACAGGAAAAATCTGATTTTTCATTATAGGATACATTTTGTCGGAGAAATTGGGTATCAAGTGAGCATAATATGCCAAAAGTCCTACAATCCTTTTCTGAGACTTCAGATCTTTTGGAGGTGGCAAATCTCGCAGAGCTTGAAATCTATCAGGGTCCGGCTTCAAATGTCCTTTGGGTATTTCATATCCAAGCAGCTTTACCTTCTTAGTAGCAAATACACTTTTACTTTCGTTGAAAGTTATTCCGTATTCCAGAGCTACCTTCTGATAATGCAACAGATTTTTTTTTATGAGAGTCTACATCTGTACCACATATTGTTACATTGTCGACATAGGCAAACGTGTCAGACTTTTCTTTTTCTATAATAGTGTCTATGGTTTTCTGGAAGCAAGCTACACCGTTAGTGACCCCAAAGGGTATTCTGCAAAACTGGTAGAGTTTACCGCAAGCTTCGAAAGCTGTGTATTTCTTTTCGCTCTGTTGGGTAGGTATTTGGTGATAAGCACTCTCCAGATCCAATGTGCTAAAGATTTTATACCTGGAAATTTTCTCCACCATTTCATCCACTCTTGGCATGGGGTAAGCATCCAGGTAAGTAAATCTATTTATAGTTTGGCTATAATCAATGACCATTCGCTTTTTGTGCCGCTCATTGGTCGTGACAAGGACTTGAGCTCTCCAAGGTGATTTGGAAGGTTCAATGATACCGTTTCGTATCAATTTCTCAACTTCAGCTTTAATAAATTTAGTGTCTTGGAAGGAGTAATGACGAGATTTAGTAGCAATAGGTCTGCAATCAGGGGATAAATTTGCAAACAATTGTGGTGCCTCTACCTTAACAGCATTGAGCGAGCAAACATGAAATGCAGGTCGACCACCGTCGAATGGAATTATCAGTTCTTTGTGTAATGCGAGGAAATCTAACCCAAGCACTACATCAGTGCAAAGTTCATCTAGTAATGAAAGTTTGAATTGATTTAAACTTCCCCTTTGTATTTTAGCGATGCAAACATGTGGCCTCTTGTGACGCTTGACAGTTGAGATGACGCCATAGAAATTTTGTGCTTTGAACGTGTCACTGACCAATCGTACTCTCTTGGTATGTTTGAAGAAATGTAGCTTTCCCCGCTACCTGTATCAATTAGGGCTTTTAGGTTCATGCCATTTACAGAGATGTGTACTGTTGATTTAGTTAAACCAGGTACAGACGAAGTAGCAATTAGTGATGTTAGATGTGTAGAGTCTTTAATGCATCTTTACAAGATTGTCTTTTAATCTCGTGGCTAGGAGATGTTTTGACTTTTGTTTTGGTTATAGGTGTGTTGCGAGACCTGCAAACCTTCGAAAAATGTCAATTTTTCCCGCAAGAATGACACATGCAGTCTTTGGCAGGGCATTTCGCTTTGAGATTCCGACTACCTCCGCAAAAGAAACATTTAGTATTCACTGTTGCGATTGTTTCTGAGTCCACCATTTCTTCGGTTGAGATTGCCCATGACGAAAGAGATGACTCTACCAATTGAGAAGGAGTACTAAACGAACTGGATTCTTTTTGGGCCATGTCGAGTGTCTTGGCAATATCTAAAGCCATTTTCAAGTCAAGGGATCTTTTCTCAAGTAGCCTCTGTCTAATTACACTCGAACGCATGCTGCTAACAAAGGCATCGCGAATGGCGTCCTCTTCATTTTTGTCAGCACTAACAGCTCAGAACTGACAATCTCTGGCCATCACTCTCAGCTTGTGTACAAATTGATCAAGACTTTGATCGACTTCTTGTTTGCAAGTTGCAAGCAAATGTCTGGCCAATGTTTCATTAGGGGCCTTCACAAATAATTTCTCAAGAATAGATTTTGCATCTGAGTATTTAGAACAGATAGAAATACACTGATATAAGGATGGAGACACAAAGTTGCATAGCAGGTCAAACTGTTCGCTTTCACTAGCCCCTACCTTCGTTACGAATCTGTCAAAACAAGAAATCCAATGTTTCTATGTAACTGAAGCATTAGTTGAACTAGGATCAGCATCCAGTCTATTGGGACGCAAAAACTTGTCCATTTAAGAATGGTTTTATTGAAATAAATTGTAATATACTAAATTAATTCATAACCTTAGAAACAAGGCTTTATTTCAATAAAACACGACTGATACACAATAACACAGTACAGACTGGTCACGATTCACAGACTATGATAATGCAAACACGATTACAAATACTAGCACGATTACAAGCACGGGTAACACACAAGTTCATTTAACGATCACTCCAAGCATCATAGTCCATTTTTTTGGTTGTTGTAATTTTGAGCCAAGAACTTTAAGGTTTATTGTGGCTATGTGCTAATACACTTTTGTCTTGTTTGTATACAATGTATGCTGTAATGATACCTACATAGGCCCTACATTTAGACAGCGTGCAAATGTAATCAATCTGTTATTGTCTGGCTGGCAAAATGTTCAATGTTCTTTATTGTAAAACATATATTTAGCAAAAGGTTATTATCAATACATCCATTGGAGCATTCATTTTGTATTGCTATAAATTTGACAAACCTTTTAGATCTTTTTACATTTAAAAGCCTTTCCCTATTTCTCATCTATTTTTCTAATTCTGAAGCAATCTTTTAGACTTTTAAATACAATGTTTTAATAATATTTGTTATGTATTTCCATATTTTTTAAAATTATTATTTTTAACCAAAGGCAACAGTGAGTCAGCTTTATGGATCAAGCAAACTGGTGATTGAATCTCAACAAGGGAAATAACCAGCTCCTAATTTGTATCAATTGAAATATTTTCCATACTTTAGTTTGTTAGAATTTAAGAAATTTGTATTAAGATATTCTTTATTAACTTTTTTTTTTTTTCAAATTGTTTTTTTTTTTTTAGTATTTCTAAATTTAAGTTAAGAATTTTTTGATAAATGAAAGAAATTAATTCTGAGGTCTTAGATTATTTATAAAGAGTTTTTGACAGAGCTTCTGATAGGTTTTAAATGTCCAGTAGTAATGTATAAACAACTTCGAGATTCTGATAGTGGAAATTTAAACCTAACTCCTAGATTCTGATAGGTTTAAATGTCCACTAGTAATGTAGAAACAACTCCAGTGTAATCGGAACAAAAAGTTGTTTTCATGTATTTCAAAATGTTGGTTGTTAACTTACTTTGTATTTACTGTAAGTAATCAAGTATTTATTTCTTTATTTCTAGGAATTAGTTATTTATTTTGTTGTTACAATTTCACCCATATAGTCTTTTTATTCTTCTAGAAAAAGAACAAATTATTATTTTTATGTTTGGTTTACATTTTTGTTAAAAAAAATAATAGCATTTTTGAGATTTTATAAATCACAATTTTGAAAGTTATTTAAAGGAATACTAAAAGGTATGTTATTAATATATTTTGTGAGTGTAAATAGTGACTATTATATACTGCAGAAAAAAACAATGATATTGTTGTATGACTGTTGTGATTGAATGACTAATACAAAATAAAATTAAGTTTAATAAGTTGATTTTTTTTTTTAAAATGTTGAAATTTTTCTGTTTTCATAAACCTTTTAGCTATTTTCCCACTGTTTGGCAGTGCTGTGATGTTGAGTTAGGCATGTACATTTGGATTTCTTGTATGGTTGTCGATAATAAATTTACATTGTTACCGGTATTGAAAGTTTATTTTTTGTTCTTCCCATTATTTATTTTTCTGTACTGGTCAACATTTTTTTTTTTGAAATAGAAATGCATTAGTAAAAAAAGTTTAAAGTCCATATTTAGAAATTATCAATCAAACTAGGTTAGCTTTTATTTTCTTAGTAGAATGGGTTGCTGAGAGAATACTAGAAATACATAGCATTCTACAATCTCACCAGAAGTAATGTTGGGTAACATTGCATCTGAAAACAAGTAAACCCTAACCCCTCTCCAGTCTTTGCTTAACTAGGTCATGAAAGTACTTACAGTGCTTAAAAGAATCAGATTTCTATTCTTCAACTTCTTTTTGACCTGGATTATTAGAGACTAACTGCACACTGGTTCCCAGAGCAGGCAGTCCTCTAAATGGTGTCTTTGAATGGTCAGTTGATACTTTTTTTTGCTATGTACAATCAGTTTTAACAGTTGTCACCAGTACAATTTAACTTATTCATGTCAGGCTTTAAGAGGTAAATGAAATTACTTGAAAATAGGGCAATATCCATAAAAAAATATATATATTAATGTTACCCCACTTAATGTTGTTAAAAAAAAATTATATCTATAACATGAAAGGCAAATATAATGTTACCATCTTTTTTTTCCTTTTAATTTAATTACAAAATCTTGTAGATTATTTATAGCTAAGAACAAACACAAAAGAAAGCAAATATAAAACAGCTGGTAAAACAAAGTTAACATTTTGTTAACACTTAAGAGCTAATACTGATATTTAAATACTGCTGTCATTTAACAAATAAGCATAATATAATAGCCACAACAAAAATATAGAAGTACTTCATTATTTAGATCATAGACAAAGCATACTAGTTGGCATGCATAGCACAACCTCTTTCAAATATCTAGATTTTAATCGTTAAACAGCAAAACTATTGTGTTTAAGTTTGCTTAAAGTTTATGTCTGTTGGTAAGTTATCAAATAATATCATTAAAATCCATTCAGTGGAAAATCTTTACTTTATTAATGTAAATAATAAGAAAACATAAGTAGCAAACAATATTTCAATCCTTGCAGATGTAATAGCTTCTGATTCTGTAAAATAATGTGTTACATTGTTCAAACTTTATTTTTGTGTTGATAAAAACTAAAGTTGATAAATAAAAGTCTCGATTCAAACTAAAAACAAACATGAATTCACCATGAAAAACTTGTATGGAAAGACTGAAAAGAGCAAGATATGAAGATGTTTATCTCCACATTTCTGAAGCCACATTGCGATGATGTTGTGGATATGTGTCCCTAAACCTGGCACTGGGGACAAAGCAGATGATAATGAAATGTTATATTAAATCAGTATATTTTCAATCAAATAGATGCATTTAAGAAAAAAAAAAAAGGCTGAAAATTTAGACAGTCTATGAAGCTTTATAACTTTTGCCTATAAGACTTACTAGATATTTGCAGGCAGTGGTCTCTGACCATATTGATCAAGCTTTGGCTCAGATTGTAAAGTGTACTGAAATACAGAAATATAACTACATTAATAGTATGAACCTAAAAATTCTAAGAAATACAAGGCATCTGCAAGCAAGGCCTTTTGGTGAAAAGAATTTATTATCCCAGAATCATAATGTGATCTAACTAATGTTTATTGTAATGTACTAAAGCTAGGAGCTATATCTTATGGAAAAGTATGGAATTTACAAATATGTATTGATTCATTTATGTTCTTGTTAAACTTACCTTCCAAGATTTAGTCATGTCTGGTCTAAGATATCTCACTGCATAGCCATCAAAGTGTAAATCTGAAAGAAAGGAATCCAGCCTGATTATATGGGTGGAATCCATAAATAACATAGAAGACTTATTGAACTTGTACACTTTAAAGAGTTTATCAGTCTTGACTCTTAAAGAAAATCAAGGCTACAATAAAGTGAACTGTCCAAGAGGGTGACCCGTCAAAAGAGCGCGACTAAATAGCGCGAAATTTCCCGACAAAATAGCGCGGACATCTATATGATGTGTATAAAAGTACCAGATTATTAGTAAATTAATGTCCTGGACATCATTTTTGTTGATGTCTCTATTTTTTTAAATATGAATAGATCTGAAAGTATGCCATATTAGCAGAGAACGAGTGTACTTTAAATTTCATATCATTCCCCTTTGTCACCTTTGATTAAAATGCTTAACTTGCTAAAAATAGGATTTTGAAATGTGGTGACCCGACAAAATAGGATAGAAAAGTGTGTTATACCATAATCAGAAATCTGCGGCATCTTTCAAAACAGAGCGTAAGGAATTTGTATGACTATTGGAAGGACTACTATATTGATCGCCTGAGACGAAACCGCAGAGTGACTCCAAGATTTCCGATAGCATTATGGAATGTTAGAGATCGTGTGCAGGACAATCTACCACGAACAAACAATTCAGTGGAGAGATGGCAACCAGGCATTGCAGCTGTCTATTGATGGTCATCACCCTAATGTGTACAAGTTAATCTCTCACTTCCTCAGAACAGGAGAACACTGAGAACAAGAGTATGAGGTACAATGCTGGAGAACGAACTAAAGCTGCAAGCAAAAGAAAGTACCTCCAACTTAACAGACGACTTAACGGAAACAAACCAGTGATGGACGTGACATTTCCTACAATTTAACTTTGTGAAAGTTTGTGTGTGCGTGTGTGTAAATTTGATAAGTATCTTTGCGTGTTTTCTAAGTACCCTTATAATGTAAATAAATGCTATATTTTGAACTTATTCATTTTACCTTATTATGATTTTTGCTTATCTGTGTTTTAAGATATCTAGTGTTTCCTGCAAAATGACTGAAAAATAATGATAACTTTAAAACAAAAAAAAAAAATATTGGCTTTGTTAATATTTTACGATATCTAAAGTATTTCTTTCAAAATGACTAAAATATTTTTTTTCTGCGCTATTTTGTCGGCGCTATTTTATTCGCGCTATTTTGTCGGCGCTATTTTATTCGCGCTATTTTGTTGGCGCTGTTTTGTTCGCGCTATTTTGTCCACGCTATTTTGACGGAGTACCGTCCAAGAGATATAGATGTATTCAATACGTTTACAAGAATTAATTGAATGACTAAATGTGGATTAAGTTCAAACATATTAAGCATATAGGCTTGTGTTATTATATGTATATGAAACAACCTTTGTGTAACTCTAGACCTGGAAGTTGAATTTGAAATCTTTCTGGTGATTTGTTCAGAAAAACTGACCAGGCCTGACGAGCTTGGCTGTGAAAATAATAACAATGTTTACATACGTTCATTGGACGAGTTAAATAGAATTGTTTGTATAATTAATATGCTCTATACCAGTTGTGCCCATAATTTGGTCCGCGGGTCATATCCGGCAGGTGACGAGATGTTCCCTGCCTCCTCAAAACTTCTGGTGGCAGTGCAACACGAAGATGATCAGTAGCAGTAGAGACTCGGCGACTAGTTGCAGTGATGCAGCCTGTCAAACATGTATCTGAAATGTTTATGTCCCGTAGGCTGAAATAAACATCACTGATCTAGATCTAGTCACATCACATAATATTGAAACTTCGTCTTTCATGGCGACTAATTGATCACAGATATTTTTTTTTAATGTCGAGGCTCGCCGATCAATGTGCACACAATGCAAAGGCAGCTCAAGAGTTTCTTCAAACAACAACCCAAGACTCATCTCTTTTGATTGTGACTCCTTTTTCCCCAAACCCTATGATGTGACGGTCTTTTCCAAATTCAGGTAGGGACTAAGAGGGTTGTGTTAATATGATATTAATATGACTTTTGTCTATGGGTAGTTTTTATTTGTTGTGTTATTGGAGTAGTCTTCCCTGATGTCAGCTTGTAGTATTTTCGGTCCTACAATGGGAACTTGAAACTTTTGATCATATTCTAAAGTAGTAAAAGTGTGTTCGTTCAATACTTACTTTTCTTACTATTAATGTTGACAGTTTGTAGTTTGCTCTCCACTGAGCTCAGACCGACCACAATTTACAAATTTAGAACCCCTAATTCAAAACGTTGACCTCCTGAGACCCGTCTCTTGCTTTTTACACTACACGTTATCTGAAAATCGTCTCTCTACCCGAGTAGTTTCTTCCATAGACCCGTTCATTCCATGATGTAATCCCATCGCTTCTTATGTCTGCCTCTCATTCTTTTCCTTGGCACTGTTCCAATAGTTCCAACGTTGGCTACTTAGATCTAAATTATTTTGATTTTTAGCCTAAAGGCCTAGCTCTTTTTTTTTTTTTTTTAAAAAGTCCTTTGGATCAACTTAATTTATGTTAACAGCGCTATACAAATTAAATTATTATTATGATGATGATTGGTCGAGCGACTTTTTTTTTTTCTCTATTTTATCTCTCCAGCGACGCCTTTGTAGGCTAGTTGAATCACGAGTCATTGCACAGTGTGTTAAATTAAAGTAATAGACTCTAAGGATCCACTCACTCACTGAATTTTTAAATTCTAAGTTTATTTTTAATTCTTGTCTTATATTTAGTTCTTAGTGAGGACAGGAATGGATCTACACAATTTTGAATAAATAATTTTTAATTTTATAATAATTTTTTATAAAAGATGAACAGTGACAAACTATCTAGGCCTACACTTAACTTCTTAAGTACACGTAGACCTAATTCTATAACAATTTAATGCTGTAGTTTCTTTAACCACCTTTTGCGCAATTTACAATGCTCTATAACAACCATTGGTGCAATTAAACAATGCTGTAGCCAATCTACAATTAATACAATAATATCATTAGTCTAATTTTAAATGACACGATAAATATATGGGACATATGATATATATTGAACTTCTTACGTGAGCTCCTGGGGTGTCGTATAGATTCGATGTAATTGTTTACCAGTTTCAGTGATGTTCTGTTGAATTGGACATATACAGCTTTAAAACAAGCGAATTTGTAGATAATGGACAATGAGAAAAGAGGCAAAAGAAAAGTCAGATATCAAGTACAGTAGGTAACATGTATAAACAAAAAAAAGCAAATAAATTTTAGAGACATTTAAAAAAAAAATTGCAGAAACAATTAGGATA